CAAGTTGCTGGAGAACCCAAAATCCCAGAGGAGGATTGCGCCATAAATCAATCACTTTAATCTCAGTAACCTCCTTCTTAATTCACCGCTCATTTTTCCTTGGATTGATGAACGAAATAGATGAAAGAATAGGTTTTTGTTATGCATATATTCTGACCACAATAGCTAGGAAGGTCAAGGCAACTGCGCAGTTCCTCAGCATTAGTACACTTCAGTACATTTTCTGACCACAATAGCTGTCAGAAGGAAAATGCGATTGCGCAATTACTCGGCATTATTAATGACTTTGGCTAAATGCTGGAATTCCATACGCTTCCTGATGACTCACTTAGAGTCATTTTAGATCAGGCTAGACTAGAGAGTGTGGTAAGGGCTCACCTCACGCGGGAGCAGTGGAACTAACAGGCGGTAACACGACCATGTGCACGTGAGTTCCTGACTTCCGAACTTCCGACGTATATGCACTGCACGCAGTTTAAAATACTTTTGTACACACATGGTCTGATCGAACTCTTCCATCTTTGAAGAATGAAGGAACGGTGAAACCTAAAACAGAGCGGAAATTCAATTTGAGAAACAAATCGATTTTTCACACTTTAATCTTATTCGAACATTAGAAGATTGCTTGAAGTGATGATAAAATACAGTTCCAAGCCAAATGATCACCTAAGCCAGTAATTGAATCAGCTTGTCTGTCGTCGCGTCCTAAGCAAAGCTCTGTTTTGATCGAATACTTCATAAGTAAACTATCGGCCTTTTTCCATTACTCGACCGAATCACGTACATCTAGAAAGACTACTCTGTAAACTCATTAAACACACTTCATACTGATTTTGATGCAAATTACCACAAGTCAACAACTTCCTTATTCTTTCGTTCTGTTATTTTGCGTTTTTTTTTTTGCGAGATTTTCTCAAGAGGTCCTAACATACTCGGATTTCAATAAATATTTGATCAATTATAATTCTATAAATAATTTATTCATTATCATACCATAGATATAGCCTAAAAAAGGTCGAGTATGAAATGGCCTTTTGAGCTTATTCAAACTGGTAAGGAAACTACGCAACCTGAAAACACATTCATGACTATGATATCCCCTGAGCCATTAATCAATGGAAAAACAAAAACATTACTACCTATTGTACCCATCATGTCATTTCTACCTACCCCTGTCCCGAACTGGGGGAGGGGGGGGGGAATTCCTCTTACGGGAGGGAAGTAGCCCCGAATTTTAAACATTACCACTTGGTGAAAGACTACTTACTACATACTAAATACTAAATACAACATCAACAGAAGACTGTCGAGTGCTGAAAGACTGCTTGAAAAACTACATTGATAAAGATAACGATAAAATGACAAAAATAATCTATCAAAGTGAGTTTCGTATTACATTGAAAGGAATCAAACTCATCGTGACCTTAGTACAGCTCTCTCAATAAATGGGACCCTTTTCGTTAAAGAGAAGTTGTTTTTCGATTGAGACGACACTCTCTTGCTGATTGCTTCCACGACTGAAAAATTCAACATTACACTAATGTTTTCTGATATCTAAGAACGAATGGCAGATTCACTGTTCACCCTCAGTAAACTCAAGAAAAATACGAAGTTCATCGCATGTTATCCTGCACCAGGAGAATGCCAATGAATAGCCTGTTTTCTTGAAAGTTTTTTTTCTTGAAAGAAAAGCGCTATAATATATCGTGTTTGCCTGAATTCGTTAGTCTGCTCTTATCACCTCTCTGCTAGGTAATAACGCGAAAAGGTATTGACACTGTGAGGGAAACTTGTGTGCTTATTGCCTTTGCGGGCTAAAGGGTTGACATGCAAATCAGTTGCAATTATGTGTTTTCTACAAGAAAAAAGCGTTCTTTGCTTGAAAAAATTCCTGATATGTGAACCTTCGTTTCTCAGTCTTCAGCCGTTCGAAACTAAGCTTTCGCTATCTTTTTTAGCGCTGAACGATAGCCTCAAAACTGGGAACTCACATTTTGCTAATGTTAACGAATATACGTGTATTTAAATGAATGTGTCTAAACCTTGTTTCCTCCTCCATTTTCAATTATAATGTTTAATATAGTTGCACAGATTTTCAAGCTTTTTGACGCTGAGAGAGATCGTTTTTGCCTTCACACTAGACAAAATTCACCAAGAGTTCTTCGACTGCGTCATCATGTGTAATGCCTTTTATTGCGTATACATTTATAAATTAATCGACTTGACACGGAAGCAGAAAATTGACATCAATTTGTGCATCATTAAAAAAGAATGTAAACCAGGTTCTTTACTAACTTTCCAACAATTAGTGAGGTCTTCGTTATTTGGGTAAATACATCGAATGGAATACTTCACCAATGCAGCCACAGTTAGAAAAAAAGTCAATTGACAAAACATAGAAGGTTTATCTGACCACAGTAAATACCAAAGTATGGACGATCAGACGAAAATTTAAAAATCCAACTGGTAGGAGAAGCGTAGTTTATTCCCGCATCTACTTTTCATAACAGAGGTTGTAAACAGAGCGCTGATAGAAGCTCCTCATATCCCAGTGACGACCAATACAAAAGCCGTGTATTAATTAATATAAGCCACTACACGTTACGTATCCTTTCAAAAAATATTCTAAGATGTTTTCTCCAAAAAAGAAAAAAATAAATAGGTAAATAACGACAATAAGTGATATCTATAGCCTCCATATGCGCGAAAATATGCACGGATAATTGACCGTACCGGAATTGAAGAAGTAGACGTAAAGTTTGAAATTTGAGAATATCAATTGCGGGCTTGCATCGCTGGGGCGTATTCGAACTCGTGATGTGTTTAGACCAAGCGTGCGCGAGCGCAAATATTTGATGGGTTCTAACGTGTGATTTCTTTGGTTTCATTTCCTCTTTAAGTTTTTTTTTTCTGATAAAAAAAAAAACAAAAAAAACAAAAAAACAATAAGTAGCCTGAGAGGTCAAATTCCTTGAGTCGGATTGTATTACTAATCAGTCACTTCCTTCGCAGTTTATGACTCGATTTCCGTTTGTTTTAGAATGTGGATGAAAGAAAACACTGAAACGGCGACCACAATAGCTGTGAAGGTCAATGCAATAACGCAATTCTCTGGGATTAAGATATTTCAGTATATATTATCTGACCACAATAACTGCAAACGTCCGTGCGATTACGCAATTACTCGCCCTAGTAATTGACTTTGGCTAAATTTTGGCATAACTATGTTTCTAATGACTCAACCGGGGTCATTTCAGGTCAGGGTAGTCTACAAAGTATATAGGAAGTGTGCGTACAATTTTTTTCAATATTTCTATTCTGGAAGGCTCATTTCAAGGGGGATCAGTGAGACTAACAGGCCGCAGTATTGCAACCGTGCACGTGTGAGCCTCTTTCATATTGCATACACGCACTGCACTCTGATAGAAAAACGCTTCTACACACAAGCTCTGGCATCTTTGCAGACTGAAAGCCGAGTGAAACTTTACACAGAGCGGAAATTTAATTGCATACATAAAATAGAGTTTACGCACTCTATTTTTATCCGAACACGGGAAGCTTAGTTAAGTGATATCATAAATACCGTCTAGTGCCAACTGATTACCTAAGCCAATAATTGGATCAGCTGTCTGTCGTCGCGACCAGAGCTAAGTTATGCTCGATCCGAAACTTCACCAGTAAACAATCAGCCTTTTACCCATAACGCGACCAACTTACTTACATCTGCGAAGTACACGCTGTACACTCATTAAGAATTTTTTTATACAGGTATTCAAAATTACATTGGTCAACAAATTCCTTATTATCCAGTTATTTTCTTTTCCCTCTTGCGAGTTATGAACGACCTTCTAACGTACTAGGATTTGATTACGTATTCGACAAACCAATTAAATATGCTTTACACATTAATATCTTTTAAACGATAAAAAAAGCCACGTGAACAATTTCAAAAATTGCTTTTTGAGCCTTTTTAAACTAGCAAGGACAATAGATAACTTTTAGAGACTTCATAGTCTTGGCTAACCAGAAAACGTTCCCCACCCCCTCCCCACCAAGGTTCATTAGACCTACTTTGGAAAAAATGCACATCATTTCTATTCAATAGAAATTTTACATTCTTTTGAAAAAATTCATTGTTTACATTCTTGAATCTTGACCTTATTTAGGGAGAGCACGGCAAAAGAGGAAATGCAAAACGAGTCGAAAAGTAAATTGCAATTTTAGATTTGCATCTCACGGAGGAATATGATCGTTCATATTTTGCATACATAGAATAATTCGCCAGTTCAGCTGATCTGCTGTTATCAGCTTAGAGTATTTGAAACATCTAATTATAGCTGCATATTTTATTCGAACTGAGAGATTTCCGTTTGCGATCAATGCTGTCTTTGGTGAGTTTTCTTTCCAAATACAGATGCGTTAAACTGTGTTATTTCAAAGCGTTTATTGCTCGAGGCTACGACACGCTATATTTGGATGATTTCACCTTGTGCTCAACCCATACTTAACATCAGAAAGGGCTGCCAGTGAACATTCTAGAGGGATATGCAACTCTAGCCCAAAAATTTTTCATCATAACAATAAATAAAGCAGCCTCTTCGCTAAATTCTTCGAAACTGCCGCAAAAATTTGCTGAACCAACTTTAAAAATCCTAAAAAGTAGAAATATGAACTAAAAACATTTTACACTCGGCAGAAATCCATTAAAAATAACAGGGACTGGGAGATTCTAAGAGTAAAGTCCAGTGAAAAACTACAGCTATACAAATTGACCTTAAGGTTTGTGATAACTTATCCAGCCGCTCGATCTTCCGTTTATAAATTTATCCTGGGTTCGTCATTAGCATTTCCCACTTCTTTGTTTGCTTTTTTGTTTGAATTTTTATCTCGTTTGTTGGTGTATATCGTTTGAGGAAATGGTATTTATAATTCTGTTTATTTTCCTTTTTGCGGCTTATTAGTATGATTAGAAACCTTAAATGAAAAAGATAGCGTGACTATTGCCATTTCACTGCATTTCATTGGATTTTGCGTAGGTAACTCAAAATATTAATGAAAACTATTTTTATTTTTTTATTGAAATAAAAGCTAAACGGCGGAGGGTTGACATTTAATTTTACCTCATCGTCTGATGTTGTTTCAAAACTGCAACCTCATTACGTAACCAAATACTTCTGAACTACAACATACAAATCATGTCTGGTATGCCATTTCTTAAACATGTAGCGGCAATCAACTGGAATAAAAGAATGACGTCCCTTTCATTTCTTCCTGAACATCACAATAAATAGTGATTTTCACGTACGATTTTTCCTTTTACGAACACTCAATTATGGCGCAGAATGAATGAATGAATGAAGACCTCTTTTAAGGAACAACTAAGGCTTGTTCAGTTTGGAAATTAAGTTTTTCCCGAATATTCCGGAATCACAAATCCCACGAAGTGAAATCAGATCTATGAAGTACATTGATCCTTTGGTTTTGAGCGAGTGAAAACATATGGTTTGTCATCATTGATCTGTTCGCTGCACAAGAGGCTGATTATTATTCTGTTCTACTCCTTTCTTTGGGCGAGTTTCGCTTAACGAAACTCAAGATTGAATGAGTAGCCCGATTGAGTTGCGCCCTTCGTGTGTTTAAAATGAAATTTTATTCATTCATCAGGAATAATTGAGTTCCAAAAAGTCATCTTTCAGATAATTGATAAATTCCCGCTAATGCACTATTTATACCCTCAAAATCTAAACACTGCACAATTTAATCTCACTACGAGGTAAATTTCGAGCCAGATAGAACTGAACAATCAACCACACATTTCCTCATAATATTACTAAAAACAAATCAATTTATCGCCAAAATTTCTACTTTTTTCGGTTAAACATCTCCAGCTTGGTCAAATATAGCAAAACTGAACCTAATGGATTGCACCCTAAAGGCTCCGCTGTCTTGTGAGAAGGCAATATAAGCAGTACTGATTATATAATGAAATATCATGCATATAATAAAGACTAAGTGCAAATATAGAGGTTTTAAGAAGAGGCTAAGTAAAGCAGGCTAAGTGCAGAAACTGAACCAGTTTCCGGCGCTTGAAGGGAAATCTCCGTATCATTAACCTGAGATAAAAAGAACTATTAGCTACTGACTTCTATAGCGTTCTTTAGCAAGCAGGAAGGAGGATGCTGTCAATCGTTTTCTTCTCCTCAAATACTACATTAACCTGAAAAAAACAAAACAAAACAAACAAACAAACGAATGAAAAAAATACAAATAAAATATCAAAATCTACCTAATCCAGAAGACATTTTAGGTCAAGCGTTTAGATGTACTGCTCATTTATCGACAATATCCGAGCGTCTTGACTCGTGAGCCTATCGTGATTTTTTGAGAGACTAAGAGGGTGGAGAAAAACGACTAAAATTTTTTTAATTACACCGGATGCCATTCAAACTCAGCATATCTAGCGAGGCTATAATAAATCTAATGGCAACGCGACCATCTGTTTCTGAGTCAAGTTTGGTTCAATTGTCTTGTTAATCAGTCCTGTCAATTCACGACAAAGAGCCACCTGAACAAAAGGGTTAAATGTCATCCGTTTATCACTAGCAAAACCGAAATTTCAACGCGACGTATTTGAATTTGTTCAGTCCACTGAGTTCAATTAAAGATCGCTGAAGCGTATATCGATTGTCGTCAAGTTCTGCCGGTGGTGTAGTGAAACACTTTTTTGGGAGAGCAGCGGCCATCGATACTTGGCTTCAAGAAAATTCAATAACCTTTGTCTGGGATCTTAAGCCACTGGCACTTGGAGCATGTCACGATTTCCTGAGTCGAACTGCTCGTACCTCATCAAGTGGTCGTATAACTGAGCTAATTAGAAGCGCAAGGGAAATAGGGAGAACATCAGACCAGTTACAGTTTCTATCAGTGTCTTTGATTTAGAAAACCCCCGTCTTGAAAGTGGGGCAGCGGTTATGAACTCAGAGACAATAAACAAGTGCCTTTAGTTTCGAGGATAGTAAAACAGGTTCTCTTTGTGGTGTAGTCTGTCATAAAAAAATATAAAATTACCGAGGAAAAAAGAGAAGTCGATTCATTATGCAGAATAAATAATTGACAATGTTCGGGTTAGGGGCGTCTGCAGTTAAAAGCGAATAAACCAATTTGGAAACACTTTTTCTTTGAGTTGAAATAAAGTTTTTTTTGTTGTTTAGCACAGTATTATAGTCTCGAGTATGCCTAATCTTGATATAATGGGGTGTGTTTCACCTCAGCCAATCAAAATTCAGAGTTTTCCTAAAATATGCGAGGAACGACGTGGTTTACTAATTATTTTTGTATCAACACAATTCAACCAAACAGTGTACAGAGAAACTTGCATTTGATCAGGTGCTAAATTTGTAACTTGTGGTTCCAAGAAGCCATTAATTGATCCTCTTTTCCAAAAATTATAAAGGAAAATACTTTGCGAGATTAAGTATGATTTGAAGACCTTTGCGTTAAAGAAAACATTCTTCGAATTCTATCCCCGTGTTTGGGCATCGAACCACGCGAGCTTCGAATTCTTCTTGAACAAACGCGTGACGAAAGGAAATGTCATTGACCCCCCTCTAGGAAGAAATTGCTCAAGTCTTTTGTGGGCGCGCCAGGCATAGTTGTGTCATTCCTCGCATTCTTTGTTAGCCTCCGTTTTCACTCAAGTAAAGGGCAAGTTGCTAATTCCAGGTGATTTTTCGAAGGACGACGTTACTATCATTCCTCTTGTATTTTGAAGAATTCTGTGTGGTTAGGTACGTTTCACGAAACTTTGAATGGTTTTAAATCATCCGATAGATTTTCCCCCTTCGAATGTTCGATCGGCCTGTTGAATCGTTCGAATTTTTTTCATTTTTCCAGACTTGTGCTTCCGGAACGACTGATCAAGCCATCAGTTAGAAGTCTACTGGGTCAGAATAAACAGTATTTGGAGATTCCCTCCAGCTAAGATCAATTTTTTACTCAGTGTTTCCAACAAAACCGCCAAGATTTCGGACCACGAGGACCTCGAAATGACTAACTCGGCCGACGAGGGCAGCGCGACCAAAAGCCCCGTCGACATGGCCAATGATGCCGAAGGAGTATGGTCGCCAGATATCGAGCAGTCCTTTCAGGAGGCTCTGGCAATTTACCCTCCTTGTGGGCGGCGAAAAATTATTCTCTCTGATGAAGGCAAAATGTACGGTGAGTGGCGCATTCTTGTCTTCGAATTTGTTTAATTCGTCAAGCGTCGATTGTTTGAATATTGCTCAACCCGGAAACCTAAACTATGGTCACTAACGAAGTTGCTTGCTCCTTTCGCATAACTCACTTACTTTGAAACTATTTCTAAAATGAGAAACGGCTGGCTTGTTAAGAATAGAGAGAATGTTGACACTACATACCGCGCTTTCCACGAAGGCATGGAATGGGCAGTCGAGTTGTTTATATCAACTGAACAACGCGATCTCTTGTTGTAATCACTACATATTATTGGCATTCAGCACTCACAGTTTAACACCGATCTCTCGTGGCAGCTGTCCAGCTAGAGTTCATGAAAATGTTAGCATACTTGTAGGCTTCTTGGCGGTTTTCGCTGAGCAACTAAAAATTCAGCTCCAATGATAAGATGTCACGAACGCTAAGCGTACGCAGCTACGCGTGTTCAATTGTTTGAAATATGCTTGCTATGTAACTCGCAGTTTTACATTAACCCCTTACCACAGCGGTTGCATGATCAGTATAACTCATCAGTTTTGCTTAATTTGTGTTTTGGAAGACCAACTTGTCAATTTTGTGGGCGATTAAAAGAAGAAGATCATTTTGATCGCCTCAGTTATTTTGTCTCTCAGAACCGTTGAGATCTCAGGCATAGCATGTGTTTTACATTGCGTTTGTAACAAAGGATCACGAATTATTTTGTTGGAATGCATGTTTAGTTTATTGAGTGTAAAAGATGGCGAACATTAAATTTTAAAAAACTCAGCTTTTTTCTAACTTTTATGTGTTGTGGAACAAAGACCTCGTCATATTTGTATCTGATTAGTATGCCACATGGATAATATTAAGCAACTTGAATAGAATATAATGAAATGCTATGCTGAAAAAAATACGCTACACTGAAACTTAATTTATGAAATGTGCTTTGGTAATGTCACCCACACTTTTCCTTTTCCTGTAATCTGCATTAAGTCCTTAATGCTTTGTTTCCTTCAAATTCAGTTCAAAATACAGATGAAGTTCATTATAATTTTGTATTTTCTTGGCAATATAGTCCTTTCCCCCAGCCACAGTTTAGGCAGTTTTAGTCCTTCATGGGTGATGAAGAAATTTTTGTTCATTGAAAAAATATACTTTTCCAATTTTAAAGACCAAGAGTTAAAACAACTGATTTTGTTCTGTTATGTTGAATTTTGAACAAAATTCACACTTTACTTAATTATTATTTTCATAATTATTGTGCAATTCAAGGAAAGATAATGCCTCTTCAACAAAAGTGTGGGTGGTACAAGTACATGCATACTAAGATCTTACTCTGAAAGTGTTTTGGCTGATACACCAAGGTAGTAATTTAGAAATCACTGATAATATGAGGAATGGGTGCCAAGTCTCCTAATATACAGCTAACCCTAAAGACTTCTCAAATATTGATTTAAATTTAAGGCAGTGCGACCACACTAATTTTCCTTTTAATTAAGGATGAGCTAAAGAAACATTGATTGATAATGAGTCTTCCCTATATAATCTAAATTAAGCGCCTGTCTTCCTAAATTGTAGAATTCAAGTTAGAGCTCTTTTCTGTTTTTGAATGCAGGCCGTAATGAGTTGATTGCTCGATACATCAAGCTGAGAACTGGAAAAACAAGAACAAGGAAACAGGTAACTATGTTAAATCTAGGAGTTACAATCAAGATAGTGTTTCGACTCTCAAAGTGGGGAATGAATCTATTAATAAGAATATTGACAAATTTCTTAAACTGAAGTTATATTTTTCTCTTTGACTTCAACTTGGCTGGTTCACATCAGTAATAGTAACTTTTCAAAACGTTTTTCTCCATCAGCCAGTTTTCCTTTTGCATGCACCTGTATCTAGTGATACTGTGAGAAATTCAGAAGAAGGGATACCTCTTGCAGCTTGACTGTTCCATTTTTTTTTTTGTGGTGCCAATTATGATATTCTTTTTTATGGAAAAAAAAAATTAATGAAAGCTATGATCCCGAAAAAGAGGCTTTTTTTTATCTAGCACCAGACAAAAGTTCTGATTGGTTCAGGCGGCAATATTTTCAAGCTGGGTGCTTACTGGGTGAAGTTGAGATTTTTCAAATTTTTTTCTTACATAGGTTTCCAGTCACATTCAAGTGTTAGCAAGGAAAAAGGCAAGGGAGATTCAAGGCAAACTTAAGGTTAGTTACACTGCTTATTTTTTTTTATTTGTGTTTGATAGGTTTCAAGTCACATTCAGGTGTTAGCAAGGAGAAAACCAAGAGAAGTGCATGCAAAAATTAAGGTTTGTACATAAGTGTATACTGTAGGTGTAAGATTATAACACTTAGAGTAACAATTACAAAGAATTACAAGTCAGCAATTACAGTTGTTGAAAACCAAAAGTTGCTTTCGAGCATCCTGTTATAAAGTAACAAAGGACCAGTTGACCTCAGCACCTGAAGTAGAATAGTACTGTTTGGTTGAAACCTTAGAATCAAAATAAAGTGATTGATTCCGAAGATAAATGGTGTTATTGTATTATTAGCCATAATAGTATTTCACCATAGGAAATAACCTCAACCTTTCTAAGCTTTTGTATTTCATCTTATCGTTATTGCTTTCCTAATCTCAAACTTTTTTTCAATGGTATTTCTAGCTTTCGGAGTTAATTCCAAGATTAATGATTTTTTTATCAATGTCAAATGTAGGACCAGGCTGCGCGAGACAAAGCTCTTCAGACTATGGCTTCAATGTCATCGGCACAAATTGTGTCAGCCTCTGTACTTCACAGCAAGGCTCTGGCGGCAGCTGGAATGCCTGCATTTAACAATGAAAGCCAAGGATACCAAGTATGTCCAGTACAATTATAATTAATAGATATCTCAAAACTTTTCACACTACATGTTTCTAAAACTTAACTCTTCAAATTGTATAGTTATCTGTTGCATGGTCTTTAAGGTCATCAGATAAACCAGCTTAAGTTGAAAATTTTGAATTACTATTTTTTTTCTCAGACTGACCCTTTCGGAAAAGCTAGGTCAAGATTTAGTATTTACGAACACTCTGATTAGAGTGCTCTTTGCTCTCTTAAATCAATTAAGGTTACCGGTATTTGGAAGATTGAAAAATTTACTGGGAGTGTTTTCGGGGAACTGGAAGAGGTCTTTCTGAAATAACTTCATCCTTTTAAATCTTAAAGTAGATTCTTGGGCCATTCCTTTTTCCGGTCAAAATACATGTTTTTTGTTTATTTTAGCAACAATACTGGCCATCTAGCGCAGGGCAGCCAGTGCCAGGCAGTTATAACAATGCCTCACAAGCTCCATATGGCAGTCCAGGAGTCCAAGCCAGTGTACCCGGTAGTGTTGTGTCCACAGCTTCAGTTGCAAGCCCCACTGGAGCTGTTGTCAGTACTCCTGAAGACATGGTAAGTTTTCTGTACAACGATTTTAACAGGATGGACTGAGATTTAAGGATGTCCGTTGATTGTTGTTTGCCAGGTTGAAGGTAAAACATGAAATTTTTTAAGGGCCGAGTGAGAGCAAGATGAAGGTTACATCCTATACTATCAACCCTTTACATCCTCACAGCAGTATATGTGTTTTCCATACTTTTATCTGGACATTTCCTATGGTAGTTACAAAGGGAATTTGTTCAACAATCAGGAGCTTCTTGAGATCATAGTCATTTCCTTTACTCTCATGAATTAAATGTTTGGTTCAGGGGTGTTACTGTCCAGACAAGTTACATGCTTTTCACCCTGTAAGAGTAGGATAATTTTAGATTCTATTCTTTCATTTTACTTTCTCATTCCATCCAGTACATTAAGAGTGGGATTTGATTGTCTTTATTTTTTTAATCTTTTTATTATTTTTTTTTTGCAGAGGAGTGTCACACACAGCAGAGGAACTGTATCCTCTACACCACCAACTTTTGCTGCACATGGCAGCTCAACATGGCCTCAGAGATCTGTTGAACAGCAGCTAGTAAGTGCACCTATTATTACTGCAGCAGTGTTGTCTAAAGGTCGATTTACACTTTTATTATAAGCAATGTTGGCCAATTACTATAAGTATATAATAAATGGTAGATATCCAAATAATAGTCTTAATATTCTTTGCTGTCCACCTCACACCTTCCACCTTTGCTGTCCACCTCACATCTAAACAGCAGTTTATCACAGTGTTGGTGGCTAGCTTGGTAAATATTCATCACCAAACACCTCCACTTTGGTGAATAGTTATTAACTATTACTATTTGGATTTGACTTTCTAGGTCTTTCACATCATTTTTATATTTTGATATTCAAAAGTTGTTATGAAAACCCTTAATAACTAAACATCATTATGCACACTTTCCATACTGTTCTCTATACATTCCAACTGGCACTGACCAGGTGAACTCATTCAACAATCAGGAACTGCTTGAGTTGCAGATCATTTCCTTTATTTTCATGTTCTGAGCATTTGACTCATTAATGATACTGTAAGGGGAATATAGATACTTGTATTAGTCACCAGTGAGAAAAAGAGGGAGAACCTTTTAGCTCCTCTAACTTTGTGACTTTCATGATTTTAGTTAACTTAATTTCGTTTGATTTTAGCCCCTGCGGCTGGTGGACTTCTCAGCATTTCTCGAACAACAGCGAATGGAACCTGAGTCGGTAATTAGAATCTCCACCAGACACATGTTAAGCTATTAATTGCAAATTTAGGATATACACACAGCCCGTAGTGTGTTGCATTGGATAGACTGCATTGTCCTTTACAAGTTAACAACTACACATACTTCAAAATCCTAAGTAACTGAAGAAATGTCCAGTAAGCAAGATAATGTGGCAGTGGAAACAAACAAAACAGCTTTCAAACATTGAAGTTTTGAACAAGTGTCAAGCTTGAATTTTAAACTAAATTCCTCTTCATTCCTTTCCTTTAGTACCACAAGCATTTGTTTGTTCACTTGGGACCAAACACAGATCTTGGTGACCCTCACCTTGAGGTAAAGCATTTAATTAGAATGCATGGATTGAATAAAATTTTATTGGTTGTTATTATACTGTGGAATCTCAATTATCCAGACTCATGGGGACTGGGCTGAATAATGTGCATAAATGAAATGGTCCCAAAATAAAACTGAATACATATATTAAACCAATGTCAAACAAGAATGAAAGTACACTCTCAAATAACTGTGCATCATTGCCAATACTTGTTAAAGTATTTACAAAATCATTTTACAAGGACTACATTTTATGACCTAGAATTCTTACATGTGCACCTTGCTAATTCTTCAATTCTTTGAAGCTGCATTATTGAAATTGTTTCAGTGCATCTACTTGGTTTGATGGGAAAGAGTTGTTACAGATCTCATTTGTGAATGATTGACTTTCATGAAAAAATAGGACCAGAGAGGCAAGTCGGGATAATAAAAAAATCTGGATAATTGAGATTCCACTGTAGTGGATTGCCAACAATTTCCAACATTATGAACTCTTAATTAGGGCTTGTTTGCACAAAAATATCTGTGGATGTGTGACCAAGCAGCTTTATCATGCAGTTTGTCTCAGCGGGGCAGTGAAAAAATTTCAACAAGTGGTAACATCGCTATTTTTTTCTTCTTTTGTTGAACTGAAGGCAGTCGACATTCGCCAGATTTATGACAAGTTTCCTGAGAAGAAAGGAGGCCTTAAAGAGCTTTATGACAAGGGACCCCAAGCAGTATTTTTCTTGGTGAAATTTTGGGTAGGCAGGACTGTCATTATTATTTTTCTGTGTTATGAAGTATGATCCTGATGTTTCTTTGGTTGTTAGTTTTGGTTATAGACACACTTCTTGTTAACCCTCTAATCCTGAGAGTGACCAGCATGTAATTTCTCTTTACAGTAATACTGCTGAATTATTCTTTAACCCTTTAACTCCTAGATCAAGTTTGTTATTCTCCTTTCTGTCAACCATACAATTCTTCAGAGAATTTAGTATTGGATCAGCTAATTATCCCCAAATTGATTTTTTTCAATTCTCATCACTAATCTGGTTCACATGTTATTGATATAGTAAGGAGAAATTCTGTCTTGGTCACTCATGGGAATTAAAGGGTTATTAAGATCATGAGAATAAACAAAAGGATTACCAACTTGAGAAGCTTTGATCATAAAATGAATTCTCCTTGTTTGTACCAGGAAAATGTAAGAGAAGAGTATGAAGAATATAGTTACTGATTTTAGGGTGTAAATTAAGGGTTTTTCTGATTTTCCTTCCTAGGCTGATCTGAATACAAACATACATGATGAAGCTGGAGCATTTTATGGCGTTTCAAGCACGTGAGTGTCTTATTTTTAAATTACAGTACAATCATTTTATTGGATAAGTTTTTACACTCACTGAACTACCCATATTACTGTTTCAAATGAAGTTTGGCCATAGATTATTTGGTTTATACTTCATTATATGCAAGAAATTGTACATAACCCTGTAAAGTGCCCTAACTCCTTTCCTTAAAATATAACGTGTGTGGGAAATTATTTATAAAAGTAATCCATAGAAATCCTTACAAATTTATGGGGATAAATTTACACTGCCACTTGTCACTCAGCCACTTATTTGAACTTGACAGTTAACTAAGGTAAATTGTCACTAATGAAAAGCCTTTGCTTTTATTCTAGTTATGAGTCAAACGAAAATATGACCATCACATGTTCCACAAAAGTTTGTTCATTTGGCAAGCAAGTTGTGGAGAAAGTGGAGGTGAGACAAAATGCAAAAGTAATCAATGAAATATCAATCAAAGTCTACTGATCTTGCAAGTTAGAAATTACAATTAGTGGTGAGAATATTGGTGACTGATTTAGCCCATTCATGTAGATATTGTGCTGAGTTTCTCTTGGCATTTCAGAGACCCATCATACTAGTAAACAGATATTTTGGACGGCGACCCCATCTTTCCTCTTTTTTAGTTACATATATGTACTTTGGGTTTAGCAACCAAAATTGAGCTGTGTATACATGTACTTTCTAACATGAATGTGGACTTTTTTTTTCTCCTTTCTTTCAGACTGAATTTGGCCACTTCGAAAACAGTCGGTTTGTTTACCGCATTCACAGGTCCCCAATGTGCGAATACATGATCAATTTTGTTCACAAACTTAAACAGTTGCCTGAAAAGTACATGATGAACAGTGTGTTGGAGAACTTCACGATTCTTCAAGTAAGTTAAAGTGTCACAAGGGAACTGATGTCAGTGGGCTTAAGTGAATATATACTTTGTACAACTTTTCATACCACAACAATGAAATTGTCTGTAGTACCTCTGTAGTGTAAGTTGCAAGATTGTGCTACATTGCATGATGTCAATTGTGGCATGTAAGCATTCCACTTTAGTTCTCAGGCTCTTTCCAAGCCAGTACAGTCTTTTTGTATTGTCCAACTTGTTTAGTTGAGTGGACAGGCTGAGTTTGCAGTTACTGTGGTGAATATGAGGATGCAAATTTGAAACGAAACCAAAACTTTTAACCATTTTGACCCTTAAGATTGCCAAGCATCTATTTTCTCCTTACATTATTATTCCTGAATCACATAAAGATCATAAGAATAAGGGAAATGATTACTAACTAATAAAGCACCAGGTAATTAATCAAATTCTGCTTGCTAGAATATGCATACTGATGTTAGGGTGTAAACTCTTTACACCTTAACATCAGTATGCATATTCTCTCTGTTCTCTGCCCATGTCTTGGTTCCGAAAAGGAGAATTTGTTTAACAATCAAGAGCTTCTTTAGTTGTAGATCATGTCCCATATTCTCATGACCTTAATGTTTTATTCAGGGGTGATCTTGGAAGGAGAAATTTCATGCCAGTCACTCTTAGGGATTAAAGGGTAAAGGTAATCAACAAATGGCTGTCAGGATACAGCCCTTATAGCCAACTTGCTAATTTTTTAGACTTGCTTATAGGGTGTTGGTAAGCTGCTAACAATTCAGCCATATTTAATTTATTTATCATTCATTTGTAGGTATTATCAAACAGGGAGACACAAGAAACCTTACTCTGCCTTGCCTATGTGTTTGAAGTATCAACTAGCGAACATGGAGCTCAGCATCATATTTACCGACTAGTTAAAGACTAAAAAATATTATATTAAAAGTAACTGCTTTCTAGAACATGTATATGTATATCTTTTTCCTTTGTAAAATTTATTCTTTCAATTTCTTTATATCAAATAACTTGTATTATGTAAATGAAAGAAAACATCAGCCATTTGGAGGACTAAAACTATCCATGCAAGATAAGGAAAATTGTTTTAAAGCACATCGATATTGCTTTGGGTTGTGATATTGCATTTTGCTGTGAGTTATAGGAGCTAGAAATCATTACTTTTAATCAAGACATTTGAGATGACTGTCAGCTTTACTCCAATTGTAAGTTCCAGCCATCAAAAATCTTTTATATTCTCTTGAGATATTAAATACTTTTAATATCGTAAAGGGCAAGTAAAATAGTCCATCTCACAGTTGTGTGCTTGGTTGCCAAGCCTTTGAAAAGGGAAATACTGTCCATTTACTCCACCCTTTTAATTCAAGAGACAGGGAGTAAAAGGGTATAGGACTTTTTTTTGTCTGGTGATAAAATCCCTTCACTGTCTGCCACACATTTCTACTTTGGAGTTAAACCAACTGACACCCATTGTTGTTCTTCCTTGTGCTTACTATCTTTCTTCTTGACAGTGCAGTGAGAATGTGAGGAGAAATTACTTATTGTCTACTCCAAGGAGTGAAAGAGTTATCTGAAGCTGGCAATGAATCCAGATTGTGAGAAAGATATGAGAAATTTTTTTTTTTCTAGTCAGTTTTCCAATTTTTTTTTCTTCACTTCTTCTTCTAAATTGCTAAAAATTAGCTTACATGTTCTCCTAGCTGTCCACTGATTGAATGTTAATTTGCTGGGAATTGCTGAAGTTAAGTTTTGCAGCTGTAATCACTGGCTGAATGTTTTTTTTTTCCTGTTTTTGTGGATGCTAAACTGCACCATAGTGGTGAATTTCTTTGTACTAAGGGGGTTTTGTAATTACTTATAAATGTTCTGACATTTAAAGACTGTTACTAGTGTACTCATTCAAACGATGTAGGCTATTAATCTCTTTTTCTAGTTAGTATTTTCAAACTAGACATTTTTACATGTGTATCTAAAGCAGTACAGCTTAACTGTACTGAGCATAAAATTGCTTCAAGTTGTGGAGCTTAAGTACTAGGGGAGTTTTCAAGTGTAAAGTGGTACATATTTTCACTTAATTTCTTATCTCTCTACATTCATGTTAATAGAAATGTCCAATACACTTCTTGTTCTGTTCTTAGAACATTTATTAGGCAAACACTTAGCACACATCAAACATAAGTAAGAAAGCAAAACTTTGCACAAGTGATCATAATTGTGATGTGAACTAGGTATGTGACCACACTGTCTAATGAATATCATTCTTAGAAAAAAAAGAAAACCTGTTTTATTCTAATTTTTAACTTAGGTGTTGCTAGGGAAGAAAAACTGGCAACTGGCTTAGAAAATTCCTTGAAAGGTGCACCATATTTTTGTACTGTGGTGATAGAGGAAATTCTTTAAAAATGGTATATGTTTCCAAACAAAGCAAAAATATTATTATATAGATAAACTAAAGTAGTTTAGAGGCAGTTTTCAGTAATTATGCTTGGATCAGTTTTGTTGTTATTGTCAACAAATTTATGTATTATAGGGTACTATACAGCTTAAATATATATATTGGACATTAAAAGATTCTTTCAAGAAGCTTTTTCATTCCATGTGTTTTTATGGTGTTCAAACAGAAGATATGCTGTTTACACCATGTAGACTTACCACAGCCTTCATTGCTAAAAGAAAGTCAGAGCTTCTGTAGTTATTAAAATTTATTATTACAATCATTATTTTTATTCTTATTACAACATGGATAACACACAAAAAGAGTACAGAAATTACAAAAAGGAGCAAGTTAACAAAAATACAGAGTACCGGTACACAAAAGAAAAAACTTACTCTAGAATCTCATGAAGCTTTGAGTAAATCTCTGATGCAATACCTGGCTTTAAATTCTTGTCTTTTTATGGCCCTTTGACCCCAAAGCGTGACTGGCATCTAATTTCTCTTTACCATATCATCCTTAATCAAACATAGTTCATAAGAATAACAGAAATGATGGCTACCTAAATAAGCTTGATTGTTTAACAAATTATCCTCACCTGTTCATCACAGGAAATGTTTGGACAAAAGTATAAGGAAAATGCTTACTGATGTTAGGGTGTAGAGGGTTCAAATAAAATGTACAATTTGCTTTTTGTTAATACAGTGAAACCTCTATAAGTGGACACCCTTGGGACCTTCCCAGGTGTCCACTTTATAGAGGTTTGTAAAATTGCACAATGTTTGTTAACGATTAACATTCAACTGTTACTCTGTACTGTGACAAAGTTCCATGTTGTTAATGAAGCTATCTAGAGTTCAAGTTCTCTAGAAGCTAACTAGAGTTCATGTTCATGATTTTTTGAGGGAAAGGAAAAGTGGAGTTTTCTACAAGAGGAATGAAGGGAAAACTTCAGACCACTTCTTCAAATAGAAATGCAGATCAAAATAAGACAATTCCCTTGGAGGTGTAACGGAATGACCAATTCACCATAGATAGCAAAAATTTGACATTAAGGCATTCAATTTTGTCATTGAAAGGTTCAGGACAATTCATCCAGGTGTATGGTAAAATGAGCAAAGCAAAAGAAATTTACTGTCAATCTTGAACTTGATCACTCATTTTTGGTAAAAAAATATTTATTCAACCATTCGTCCATAGGTCATTCTATGGCCTATGATACAGTGGTATAGAGAGATCTAACCCCAACTATAATGTTCATTAAATTACTCTCAAAAAATATTGCAAAATCGTTTTAAATACCAGACTGGAATTAAAAAAAAACAAAACACCTCCAGGAACATCACCTGGAGACAATCATTTGGGAAATTCTTGTTTTGTATTTAATTTTTTTTTAGCCAAGATGTTCTGCATTGTATAAATAAAAGCACTCAACAAACTCTGGTAATTTTGTTTCCTTTTTGAAATATATTTTCAACTTTGATAGGCCAGTGTTTGGAGAAGTAAATGAAATTCTCCTTTTGGATCCTGGAGGAAACTTCGAGGGTAAATCATCCATACAGTGGAGCAGAAGCTGCCTTATGAGTCCACCATGAGAAACAGCCAGAATATTAGCTAGCTGTGACATCTTTTCTTGTTTTTGTGTGACACATTTTGAGGTCTGTGGCTCATCAATGATTTTATCATTGACACAAATGTCATTCTGAATGGAACTGCTAGAGTCACTACAGTGTAAAGTTCCAATTTCATGTATTATGGAGTTCAAAAATTTTGTTGCTCTTTCTTTGAGTTCAGCAACTGTTTCTCCCTCCTTTGGTGTAAATATGTTTGTCTTCATATTGTTCTCTGCTGCCATTTGTTTAAACCTCTGGTTGGATACTCCTTCTGCTACACCATAACCCTGGGAACAGAAATAGAAAAAAAATTATTGTGAAATGTTTTTCATAAATAATTTCTTGTCTATTTCTACTTGCTCACTTCAAATTGAGACAAAAAAGAGACTGTAAGCAGTTTAACTACAACTGTAAGCAGTTTAACTACAATGAATCTATTTCTCGATGACTACTTACTATGTTATCACGATGAACTATTTTCAATCAATATAGAAAACAATTTATCAAAGGACAAACAAACCAAGGGCAGACTCTGAGAGGGTGAAACAAGAAGATGGTATGTACAAATTTAATATTCAATACTCACTCTCTCTCGCAGACGAGAATCCTCTACAATCTTCATTTGAGAGCAGCAATTGTTTTGATTGATAATCTCCTCTGCAGTCTGAAAGATGCAAAAAGAAATTATATTTACCAGTCAGCTAGGATATTCACCCACCAGGTCAGATAACAACAAAAACAACTGACTAATTGAAAATAACAACTAGGAAAATGAGGTACTTCTGTGGAACCAGATAAATCCTTCTTCAGCTTTCAACAAGAAAAAATTTCCACAGGAACAGTGGTAATTTTCATAAACTTTTCATCCACTCTCTACTGCTGCATGACCACTTCCACAACAAGGAAAAAATAGTTTGACATACCTTTCGAGCTCTTTTCAAATCACTTGAGTAAATGTGAGAGAAAACTTCATCATTTAACTTGTTTCCAGCAAGTTGGGCTTGTTTTATACCTTCATCAGAGAGCAAAGTATCTGTCTGCCCTGCAAAATGATTCAGTCAACTTGTCATCAACACTAATGAAATTATAACTCAACCAGTCCAGATTTGTCACAATGAGAACTGAAACTTATCAACCACAAATAAAATATTTTCTCTCAACCATGACTGGTCTTAATGCATTCAAGACTGAATATCCAACACCTAAAACAGGGTAATATCCAAGTAACATTCCCAGTTTTCAGATATCACAGATGATTTGTAAAGAAAGTCTTCATTTACATCTAATTAAGAATGGCAGAGCCCTTTAGTGCTGTTGCAAAAGAAGAAGTCTTGCTCATTTATAACACCATTTCAGTCATCACCATAAAGTTAACATTCAATGCAGTAAACATTTTAATGCTAAGAATTTCATAAACTCCTGGTCTAACTCTTGTAAAAAAAAAAGTAATGGATAGCAAAAGCTATGACCTCGAACCAAATGAAACTAATGCTTATACATTTAATCTTAGACGTAACATTTCATCAAAGCTCAAAGGAGAGATACACTCTTGAAATTTAAAACTGCTTGCTTCTTGTAGCAGATGTCAGAATTGACAGCTATCCAAGAACAATTTTATACCAAATGGAGGCTTCTGTTTCTCTCTGTAAGAAAAATGTTCAAAATAGTTTGATGAAGGGAACCTTTCAAGTTTGACAACAAAAAAACAGCCAATCAGGTTATTGTTTTCAATCAAAGTAACTATTTGTAGGATTTACAATCACGGACATTCAGCACGTTTTCACCTTGAATGATGTTTGCCTTGTTTTCTGGAGTTTCACCACTACAAAAAAAATTTCAGAGTATAAAGAATCAGACAATAACATATAATGTAGTGTTTATCATGTTAAATTACATTGCTCATCTATATATCAAATCTCGGTTCTGTCCCTCTGGTAATCATTATCCCAATCAGTTCATTTTTGAGGCTCTATAGTAAATAAATAAAATTTTAAAGAAGTATGGAAGAGAGAAAAGCTCAATTTTTATCAGAAGTGATAAGGATCTATAAAATTTTCGAAAGGAAGTCACTTATTTCCTCCACAAAACCCTGAAAACAACATTTTTTTAACCAGACGAAAACCGAGCAAATTGCAAAGAACTATAAATCATCACAAAGTTCAGCCATGTTTGTTGGATTACGACACGTCACAGTAACATCTAATTAAAAATAAAATGTTCAGACAATGATTGCATGCGAAGCGTATTTCCCTCTTAAAGGGTTTTTAATGCAGCTACATGTCCCATAAATTTTATGCCTTAAAATCATGAGAAAGAGAAAAACAGACGTCCGATCGAGCTGTCCTAGGATGAAAAGCACGTTCAGACGGTCAACTCCACTAACTACAATTTTTGTTTGCTTATTTCAGTTCAAACAAAGGCTATGAGAGAGAAGTTAACTACTCACTGTCTGACAAGGGTTAGAAGAATAAATGCCGAGCAGCTATCCCCTGCATCAGTTGCGTCCGCCATTTTGCTCAACGATACTTAATGGCGACGAAACATCTGTCCCACCCGTGCCTCCCCTCCACCACCACCACCACTACCCCGATCAAAATAAAATAGATTTGTGCGGTAGAGGCACCCTGGGTAAATTTCGGTTGTTGTGTGGAAAGGTTTTCATTCCTTTTTTTCCTCTTTTTTTTTCTTTTTTCCTCTATTTGGGTGATGAGGAAATTGAACTCTTTCACTATTTCTTGGCTTCATCATCCATTACTTTTATTTATTTTGTTGTGTTTTGTTTGGTTTTTATGTTTTTTCTTTTTCAAAATTTTCTAGTACAAGAATCACTGTGGCATTTGATACATAAATAGTAAAAATAGTCACTTACTTCCTGTTATTAAGGGCTATAAATAACTACCTGTCAAATTCAAGATCAACCAAGGTTTTGCATGCTCATGAGCCAAGTTCTGCTCGGTTCAACATCTCGGGCAACAACTCTGCATCCTAAGAAACAGCTTTATCTCATAATTCAATCATCAATGCACCCTAAAAATGATATTGTATCTCATCCTGTAAATGAGAATTGTTCCTTTAAGAACTGCATTTCTACAAAAATCATTGTGGTCCCAATCCTTCTTTTCAGTGGTAGCTGAAATCTTCAAGAGGGCAACACTCTATCAGTGTTGCATGTAAGGTAATTGTGTCTTGATTGCAAAATTGATACATGGACTTAAAAATTTCCCACCCTAGTATTGTTTTTAAGATTGTTTTGACAATTTAAATATTATATATCAGGACCCAGAAGGATGGTAGGTTCAATCAATACTTTATCACATGACTATAACTAAGGTGCCTATCCACCAATTTTGGTCAAACTTTTCAGTTGCTAAAAATTAAATAAAATTAAGTTAGATTGCTTCATTCTAAATGGCTGATAACCTTGAATGACCTGAAGTTGCATCCTAAACCACTATACCACTCTGGGCAACATCCTGTAAAAAAGGAAATAGGTTATAGCTGTTTATCATGACCCTTGGCGATCTGCCAGATGGTGTTTGACAACAAAAAACTGCTCTGCCAGATTTTCTTCTCAAAATTCAACATCTCAACATGCAGTCATTCAAGCATCCCTTTATTCAAACTACTTATATGCTTGCAAAAGGCTTGTAAATGAGATCAGTATACCATGATTTTCTCTCAGCAGTCTGGGAAGGTTGCCAAGGATTTGTAAAGAAATCTACAGAGATAACATGTCTGAATTCACCTGGCAAGTGCAGACATTCTCCAGATATGCTTAATTAAGAATGTTGGAGAAAAGCCTACAGACCTCAACTTGTCCCTAATGCCCGTGGCACCATACCGTTCATAGTCCAAAAGGCAAAGTTAAATTTAAGCCCCATAGTCACAAGAAAATCTGCTGATTTACATATCAAAACTACCTCTCTCCCGCATGAGCATTTTGACTCTGTTGTTTGGAAACATTCCTCAGAGAATTACAGCATTGATTGAAAGAAACGCTAATGCCATTTACGGATACAACTATTCTTTAGGTCAACAGCCTAGTCTGTAGATAAGTACCTACAACTCTTAAAATGCATTCCACAGAAAAGTGAATTGTGTTTACAAAATATTGGACCAAAGACGATATTTATTCAGTCGCGACCCGTTACCCTCTTCGAGGAAACCGCATACACCAAAGATTTTGAAGAGCGATGCATACATTTGACGCTGTCGTGTGACGAATTAATAGCTTTGCCGCTGGCACGGAAGATGACTTATTTATAAGTTGTCGCGATAGACAACTTATAAATCGATTTTTAAACAAAACAACTTGATCAAAGTAGTGACATTATTTCCCACAAATACATAAACCAGTCATCAAATTGACGCTCTAAAATATATGACGATGTTTACTTCTATATATTAATCTATATAAAACTGGCTGGTCAAACGCAGCAAAGATGGGGCGAATATTTAAATTCCTCCAGCCTCTCAATCCAAGATATGCCGTGGTATCTTGACCGGCAGCGAATGCAAAACAGGTCAAAGCTAGTCAAAGATATCTTCGCACTACCTTCTCTTCGACATACTAAAAGCTCTTCTAATGTGAGCGGGTCTGCTGAGTTCTCCGTTCAAGGTCTTTCCTTTGTCTTTGTCCTTTTTACTTTTGGATTTTTCTCCTTCGCCGATTTGTGTGGCCGACGTTATACTTGTAACATGGCTAAACAGACATGGCGTTGATATCTCAACTTTTTTTAGCTTGCGGAACTTTTTTAAACGTTCCCTGTTTGTAGTCGTGGGAAGTTTATTCAATTCCGGAGCCGAAACAGACGACAGGATTTCTTGCACTGCAGCTTCGACCTCTTTTAAGAAAACATTGGCAGATTCCTCACAATTAAAGCGAAACCCCGCCATGGACCCGTCCCCATTAGAGAGCATCAACGTATGAAAGTTCTTTTGTTGTTCGTGGTAGTTAGAGTTCGAAGTGAGGGTTTCTTTCCAAGTCGCAAAGCCGCTATCTCTCTCTACTAAACTCACATGCACTCCTTTAGGATTCCTCGCCCCACAGTCTCCAGTGCTGATGACTAACACAGGCACTCCACTTCGCTCAAGGGTCCATTGATTCGAAGGACGATCGATGCTTGGCGGTTGCCAAAGATAAAGGCTTGCTGTTGTTCCGCACACCACAACGCGGTTCGATAAACAAGATAACGAAAGTTTGATCTTGAAAATATCTTTGTCCGATAAACGTTCGCTCAAGGCATTGTCACTAATCGTCGTCCTCATGGACATGACTGATCGAAAACAGCGAATTCCAACAAGACGTGACCGACGGAGACTTCAAATTAAAAACAGTTCAATTTAAAATACAGACACTGTAGGCAATGCACACCTCCGACTGACATCAACCGAAAAATTAGTAGCACCTCAAAGTTGTCACTTGATAATGCGCCATTTTGAGTGAGAGAGCGCCCTTGTGACAAATTCTCCGTTACTTTCTGTCGCTACAACTGAAGAAACCCTCTTTACGGAAAACATTCATTTACAATAGAGTACAAATGAAGAAGCTTAGTCACAGGAGTATGACGTCACGGCCTTTTTTGCTTTCGACGGATGTGACTGGGTGCGGTGAACTTCCGGTACAATCGCCTGAGTTGTGAGTCCCCAGACAGGACAACGAAAGGTTACGAGGATCGCAGATGGGTAAAATCAGGAGAAAAAGAGATAAAATTTTTTTTTTCCAAAATGAAATAAATCAGGAGGATTTTATTAAAGGGGCAGAAAAGTATGACATACCAGAGGATCATAGAGGGTCATTCCTCCTTGCATAGAACGTAAATGAAAGGAATGGAAAAGAAAATGAACCAAGTAGTTGCTCCACTTGCAATTTAACTAATCATATCACAAAAAGTAACTTTAGCTTCTCTCCAGAGAGACGAAAAGTGGATCTGAATTCCCGTAAGCCGGATAGCGTAAATCATCCCTGGTGTTATGGCATGGCTCTGTAAATGTTTTAAAAAGAGATATCAACGGGGCTAGGATGGGATTATGTTAGAGAGGACTGGCGGCAAGCAATAAAGAAAGCATAGATCAAATTACAGAGGGCGACTGGACACTACAAGTAGATTCTTGTACTCTTATCAATCACACATCATTTCAAAATGATTGTGCATTTCGAGGCTTGATCATTTGTTGCGTATTCATCTGAAATTAACTTTAAAAGCTTCTCTAGCAAGTATTTCACGGCTTGAATTTCTGATTGGTACCTCAAACTCGGTAATTAGGAAAACTGTTAGCTTCGTGTGATAGGTAGTGTCCTTGAATAAATAAACGAGAATTTTTCGAGCTAAATGAAAGGCGTATTGTGTTTATCATCCATCACATATTCTTTATTCGAATTTTTACCATTTTTATGTTTCATGCGCAGTTGCGGAAATAAGATTTTGTTCCTGTGACAACTAAATGAAAAAAAGACGGATGGCATCACAAAGGAAAATTCTGCTGCATCACTGAATGGAAAGTTGCCAATCTTTACGTTCTCTAATAACCACAAGTCTGCTCTTTGACGAAGAACATTTTGATACATTTCGCTTATTTTTTTACCATCCGGAACTCCATACTGATAGGACGGATGACATGCCGTAAACAAGTAAATGCAAAAAGTTTACAAGTTTTATGTGAGCCGGAAATTTGTGCTGTCAGATAATTTGACCGAACAACGCCTGATCAAGTGTCATGTCTCGTGGCAGTATTGGCGTAAATCAGGTAAATTTCACAAAGTAAATACTGTTCTGATCAGCTTCGCTATTTGATTTTGGTAAAAATCGGGTAACTTTCTTTTCTTTATTTTGCAATGTCGTCTGTTGTTTGCTTGTTTAGCTGTTTGTTATTTCTTGCGCCTTCTCTCGTCTCTTCACACCTCCTGGGTTCCTGGTCTCGCCGTCCCGAAAGCTTGTGGCTATCGTCGATATTTTTCAGTCTCTTGTTCAGTGAATTTCATTTCCGATCCCTCTTAGTTAAAGTGAGTATTTGACTGGAGATCATTGAAACTAGCCAAATCTGAGTCAGTTCACAATGTTGTTCGTCTTTCAGTAAAAGCATCCGGTGTTGATATAGCTAAAATGGTTCGTGTCGACATTTTACTCAAACGGAAGCGATACACAAACAGAAAAATAGTTCACTGAAGATGAAGCGCTTGAATCATTTTGATAATGAACATGTAAAGAATTTTGACGAGAGTCTTGACAAACCTGTCGTTAACCAAGGTGTTTTGTTGAATTTTAATGTTTCCGAGGTTATTCTATATAAGTTACTTAATCAGCAACTATTTAATACAAAGGTTTCCTTATCAGCTCATTTCCCATTCAGGTCGAGTGTCCCCTAAGTACTCTCCTCACCACAGCACTTGGTCCGATATATTACGAAACTCGAACTTGAATTTTCTCAGACTGTTTAAGTCCTTCGACATTTATTATTACCCAAAATCTCGTCGAAAACTGCAGTACTGTTTTCGAAGAGGAATCGTGAATTGCCCACGGTTGATTTGACCTCAAAGTTTATCTTTCACATGCCAAAGCTAAGTCATCACTTACCACAAAGATAGCCTATAAGGAAAGCCACCCACTGGTGACCACATTTTATTGTGTTGGAAGCCGGCACCGGACATGTGTCACTGATGAAGTACTGAGGTTTGGGGCGACGTAATTATGTAGAAACTTCCTGCGAATAAATGCATGCAATTTATTCCAGGAAAATTTTACGAGAGGAAAATTACATTTTATGAAACCGGATTCGAAATTGGGATGTCGGGATAAGATTCCCAGTGGTTAGAACCTGTTGAAATCTGTTTACGGTATCTTTTGACTTGTAAATAAATGACTAATTAGAGGTAATTATTCATCAATACAGAATTGGTCTGTTTAAAGTCTGTGATTTTACGCAGTGTTGAGTCCAATATTAGCTCGACTACACTAAGGAGACACGTCTGAGAATTAAATACCAGCAGCTTTATTTTTCTCAATAAATTAACTTGAGGAAAGAATTTCTGTACACAATCTGAAACTGATCTAATCTTTCTGTAGATATTATAAATCCTTTCTTAATTGCTCAGTTAATCTTTTCTGCATTATGAAGTCTTCTAGGTTTCCATTCACGCAGAGTTTAACATGATCATATTTTGAATATTAAATTTCACGCCGTCGACAACGCAATGTACTCCTTAACAAATCAAAGCTCTTGAACTTACATCAGTACCGTCACAACATATTTCATGGCAGCGTTTAAAATTTCTGTCGTTCATATTTAGCGTTTCTATTTTTCCTAAGGGATTTCAACTTATTTAAAGTTCGGTTGTACATAAATCGGTGACCATCAAGTCTCTTTTCTTAAACACAGGTTCTGTACATCGCCTAACCAAACTTAAACTGCGGTGTACGGGCCGCGGTTGGCAGGTGAAAAGTTTGTTGGATGGGTTTTCAAAGCGGCTGATGTCGTTCATGGTTTTCTCGCACCCCTCAGTTATAGAGACGAGACGTCGATTGTTTTCTTGCGACGCAGTCTTTCCTTCAAACAGTGTCGCTGTTTGTCGTTCGGCTAATTGTCGTCTTTCGGTGCTGAACACTTGCTGTATCTGAATATTCGATAAGGCAACTGTACACCTTTCAAAAGCAGATTCGTGAGCGCGAGGATGCCTTGGTCTCGGGGCGACATTGAACGAGTGTGACCTTGAAGCCGGCTTATGTCCAGATACTTTTGATGCATCTTTACTAAGCGATTTTGATTGAGAAGAAAACACGCTCAGAGCCCGAAGAACAAGTCTCGCAATTGTTTCATTTTCGTAGCGAATCCCGGCCTTTTCATTAAAGTTTTTAGTACTATTAAAAGTGTGAAAAGTTGGCTGAGGTGACTCGATCCTTGTTAAGTCTGCAACTACCGTCTCTTTCCACACAACTGCGCGTGTTTTCAGGGAGGTCAAACAGACTTCAATCCTTTGGCCAAGGCTGTCGGTATTGTAGATTAAAGCAATTACTCCTCGGCCGACAGTACTCCATTTCTCTTTAGTTGGTCGTCGTAGAATGCTGAGCCGAATCTTGTAAACTAATACCTCAGCCAAGCATGGGGCGATAACAATTTTATGACGAGGTGTGAGTGTCTTAGCCAAAGACTCTCTAATTCGTTGGATGTCTTCGTCAGTCAAAACCATCGTAGGCTTCATTGGAAATCGCTTTGTTACACCAAAACAAAGGTCTCAAGTGAAGCAGTGTCTCTAATACTGTTATTACAAACCAGATCTAAAGAGAAGTGTCCAATCAAACAAACAGATTACCGCACTTTAGTATCGCAGTCAATGTACGGGCAAGCCGAGATAGGCACAGTCGCTTTGGAATATTCGTGGCTGGCTGTTTGCGCTACAAGGGCTTGTGGATTTCCGCTTCGGTGAGAAATTATCTCGGAAATCAAGGCGTGGGAGTAAACAGAAGAGCCATGAGTCATATTTACATGACTGCGAGTTTGTAAAGCTCTGTTTGTCAACTTGTGGGCAGCGAGAATCCAGCACTTTCCTATGACAGCGTTCTTTGTCTTTTACTCTCGAGAAGACCTGGTAACAATTTTACAAAGAACAGAAGTTCGGGTAAAATATTTACCTTGGCTAAAGTCGAAATTGAAAGCTAATTATGGTTGACACCATAATGTGCGTATTTGCCCTTCGGCGGTACTAGTCTGCTCGTTATTCAAATTTCTATAGATTATATTGTGTGCAAAGCACAGCTCATTCAGTAAGAAGGTCAACAACGGATGTACAGAGCGCCGACTCCATTTGCACTGGCTGACACCTCGGATCAGCTTATTTTTGTTTGATTTAAGAGGATTGAGACAGTTTTCAAGCTAGTTATTGAAATGCGTATAAAAACCAATTTATCAACGTTTTGTTTAAAAGAGCGTGAATAAGTTCTGACAAAGCAGCACAATAGTCTTCCTGTCAAAATTTATTTATGCCGAAAAGCGGTCCTTTGGGAGAGAGAGCGTGAGGGCAGCGCAGAGTTAGAGCGTGACGCGTGATATTTAGGGAACGATCAATTAGTCCGTGACCCGTGCCTTCAATAAGACTTATCAAATGCGAAATGCTTATCTTCCAGCTTTTATCACGAGCCTTCAACTTTTGAAGAGTCTTGTACACTCCTTTCCGTACGCTTCCTCCTGGGACTTCCTTTTTCTTCTCAGTTTTCCAATTTATTTTTCTTCTCAAGATAGTCTGTTCTACTTAGTTCTTTCTCCTCATCAAACAACTACAACCCAACTTTGTCTGCCCTACAAGTTGTTCACGTACTGTTCGTCTACTCGAAAGTCTTCTCTTATCATCGTGTTTCTTTTAGTTTTCTAACTAGTGGTCAAAGAAAAATTTAGAATTTGACGGCAGGTGGTAAAACGTGAATCGTGTCCAAAGGTATGAATGATCCGTGATCGTGAGTGACTTGTTCCTTCACATATCAGTCAAAATAAATTTGATTTTTTCAAAACCGTCAGCCTGTTAGTGTAAAAACGTTAAATGCTGAGATGGTAGTTCGGAATTTTTGCACACGAACGGAAAATTTAAGCATTGATGACCTCTAGATTTAAATCAAGAGAGTTTCTGAATCCGAGGTAATTTGATAAAAGATGTGATTATCACATTTCTTAAGAAAAAACAAAACAAAAAATATTCAGTACAGCTGATGAAAGATCCATCCCTGCCTCAACGTCGAGACAAAGCTAGGCGCGAAGGTTGGGTAGAAAAGGGAGCCTAAGCTTTGGTCGACAGGCTAGGTTCAGCAACCTGACAGAACACACAACTCTTTCTATACGACCGTTACTCAAGATTTCGAATCCCTAATGACAATCACAAGAAATTCTAAACTTTAAACGTATTAGCACTCTTATTCATGGCGAAGTAATACCGGAAGCCGGGGTTAGATGACCACAAGCTTCGAAAACGAATCTTTTTATGCCAATTCAATTGCAGCCCTAAAGTTCCAGTTTTCATCTTTCCTGCCGAATCCCAGGTAATAATAAAAAATGTTTCTGTAAATGTATCAGGATTCGTTAATATAATGCCTACGATTTTTAAAATTGAAAATGAATCTGCACTCACCGTTTAAACACCGTTCCACGTAGCCCACCTGTGGTTGCCATAACCTAATATCCGAAACTTTGTGATCTAAATATAATTAACTAATCCGCGAAAGTAATAGCGAAAATATCTCGCTTTAATGCTATGTAACAGTGATCCGGCCAACCTACAATTTTCCCTCAACCACTTCGATCTCTCTGATACTCTGGCCCTTTCAAGGTTCCCTACAAAAAGTAAGTTCACAGAAGATTCAAGAAATCTTTGCCTGGAGAGAAGTTAAAAATAAATTTAGCTAAAAATTTCTCTTTGTTAGTTAACCGGATAACGACCTGCCCTTTCCTATCTTCTTAATGGTTTTGGGAGGAATTTTAAGATCACGTTCGTAATTCTATCCAAAATCTTTGAACTAACAAAGGGGTGAAAAAAAGGAAAAGGAAAAAAAAAAAGGTGAGAACTAACACCCAAGTAGCTCTTTAACATATAATTGATAACTGCTTTCTCGAAAACGTAAAAAAGCGACTGTTTTATGTATAATAAGTCTCGTTGTGCTTCTCGTGACATGCATGCATTAAGTGCTCGAAGAAGACGGTCGTGAAAATATCGGATCCACATCGGTATCTGCGCAAATGCTCACCAAACACTTCTCTAACACAACAACGATCAATTGATGTCAAGTTAGAGAAAATGTTGGAATAGGGGAGGGGTCGGTGTGTAGTTGCTCAGATACTGACACTGATTCAAAATATCGGCTTCTCAGTCTTATTTGAGCTGGTTGGTAAAATTACGAATAGATGGGAATTCTGGCTGGGACAGTTTTTTCGTAAAATATTTGCTAGGAATTTTGTTATTAACTTGTGATAACAGGCAAAATAACCTTGACGTTTTGATGGCCGACAATCACTCATCACGGCGTCCTTTTTCTGAGCTCATCTACCCAACAGAGCAGGCGTAATTTTGGCGAGCGAGTGCTCGTTAATTTACGGCCGCCACCTTTGATTTTAATGGCAGTGGAAGGCTGGGAAGAGAAAGAAATTTTTACCAAGGGGACGGTGGACGGTCAACAATAAGGAGAGGAGTGGGGGTAGGGGAGTGGTTCTCAAAAATGATCCAAAATAATCAGGCTAAAGGATTTAATACTTTAATTCTTAGACAAAGATTGTCTTGTTAATGGAAACCTTGTCTATAATCTGATGCAATGAGTCCATGCAATTTTAAATATCGATATACAGAGTACTTTGTAAGAATAATTCTTCTAAAATTATCTTTCCACCCTTTTTGAACTTCTTCAAACTCCCAAGATCTGATTAGCAGACAACCATTTCCTCTTTTAATAGATTATCTAAACTAATCTAAAAATAAGTGAGGATAATCTGTTGTTATATTCTGACACCATACTCTGGTTAATTTTCATTTCTCCTTAAGACAAATGCATTGAAGTTGTACCATGAGGTTGCATGTTCATCCTAATAATTAACCGAAGATTTCACTCTTTAATTCCTGGAGGTGATTAACAACAAGTAACTTCTCTCTGTAATATCCATACATTATCTAGAAAACAGGCGATGAGAATACTCAAATTTAGCAGGTTAAAGGTGTTATCTTAATCTAACACAAATTTCCCTGACTAAGTTACAAGGAAATGTGTAGCAGCTAGAAGGGAGAATCACAAAACAGATCTTGAGAGTAAAATGGTTCAGGATAAAGCCCATAAACTTGTCCTCCAGTTCCCAGTTATCCTGAAAACTTTAAATATGGCAAAACAATAAATACAATTTCTTCCTAAGTTTATTTTGAAATTTATAGTGACTCTTACTTTTCTTCCCTTGTAAGATGAAGTTCTAAAGAAGGAAATAACTTTTCCAGTCAAATAACACAGACAAACAAACAAATGATGGGTGCTAAGATATGACAATTACATCATTTGCCTTTAACTGAGTCACATGGCTCTACAATAAAATCTGCTCACTTTGAGCACTTATTGGAGATTCAAATTTCCATAGTAAAAAAATGTTTGTCTCTACCAACTCAATCCTTCTTTGTGGCAAAATACTTTTCGCAGCACAAACTTTACTTGATCTGAAAAAAGAAATCTCAGAATGTCTGAGAAACAGGGTATACCATATTACTCTGCATTTTCCTATGCAGTTTGCTCGTTCTTTTTGTGAGAAAGAATTTGGAAAAAAAGGGATTTATTAAAGCACACCACTAAGCTTGCCCCACAAGCAGAAAGCACAACATGTGCTGGCTCTTCAGCAGTTTCAATTCTTGAAATCATTTCCCCATCTGGTTTAAAGGCCACAATTGAATTACCACTACAGTCACAAACTAGAATTACATTGTTGATTACATCAGCAGTTATGCCAACTGGGTCTAAGAGATCCCTGTTTCCAAAATCAAGGAGAAATTTACCATTACTGTCAAAGACCATGATGCATTCAAGATCACCATCAGTCACAAAGAACTTCCCTTGGTGATAAACAACATCTTGAGGGCAAGCCAGTTTATCTTTGCCAAAACTAAATAGAAATCTTCTATCAGGGCTGTAGACCAGAATACAAGATTGCACTTCATCTTCAGGCTCATCGCAGCAGTCTCGAGGACTTGAGGTCACCAACAGGCGGCCACTACCATCTGTTGAAATCCTTGTAAACTTCACAGAGTCATTTGGTGCTTTGACATATTTTTTGATAAATGTACCTTCTTTGTCGTAGTGAAGAAGGCGATTACATTCTCGGTTCACAACAATTATTTCTTCATCTTTGGAAAATGTTATGTCCCACAAGTCACCGTATCTAATGCGGAATGATGTAAGGTAGTCTAATTGTGAAGAGAAGACATGTACATGCCTTTCCTCTTCATCAAGTGCCGCAATCTCACCTGATACACTGGACACCGCAAAGGCAAAAGTAAAGAATTCAGTTTCGATCGTCTTTGTTACTTCTCCGCAAGTGCCATAGTCAATCAATCCAGCACTGGCTCCAGCGTGGATGTATTTTGTAACAGACATTGTCAATGTCCCGAGCATTTCAACGCATTTCTCATCTAATTCTAACACCTGAAAATGATTGTAGTATATTTCTGCTTGGCTAGATAGCTTCCTAGCTTCAAGAGTTCTTGTATCCAAAGTTGAGCTTATTTCTTTTAACTGCTCCTCTAACACATCTCCGAACTTTAAAATCTTTTCAATGTCATCCCCACTGAGAATTTCATTTGCTTGCTGGATGGAGCTTCTCGCTTTTTGAAATAAATCGATCATGTCTTCCCTCTGTTTTCGAAGGGAGTCAGTGTCGTAGTTTTCAGTCATAAAATCGTCAAGCTGAGAAAGCAGAATTTTCCTTTTATCATTTATGAACTGAATAATATTATCAGCCATTGTGTTGATCTCACATATCATAGCTTGGCTCTGCTCGGTCGCTTTATCGTAACAATCTTCCATATCCTTGACTGCTTTTTCTGCTGCCTCTACCCGCTCTTTACAAAATCTCAAGGCTTCAGTAACAGCTTTTTTCTCTTTCCTTGCGGGAGTGTTATCGATCAGACGCAGCAAAAGATGGTTTGTGGGGAAGGCCGACACCCCTAGGGGGGGAAGAAACGATTCTTCTCGACACTGAGGACATGAAATCCTAATACTGTTTCTACGAACCATGTTCTGCAAACACCGCTCACAAACGTTATGTGCACAGCTTGGAAGACATTTTGGTTCCTGAAATTCTTCTAAACAGACAGGACAAGTGGTTTCGTCTCCCATAATACTCAAAACTTTCTGAAATTCCTCATGTTCGGATCGAGAGACGCCCGCCATTGCTGCCAGCTGGAATATTATCCACGTTTCAGTGATTATGCAACTTAGTGCCCAGTTTCCTCACGAGAAAGCAGGTAATTTCGTGTTAACAACTAAGTTTAAAACGTAAATTGGCCACCGTAAAGAGTAAAAAAGCTGACGTTTTGGGCGTTAGCCCTTCCTCCATCGCTCTGACGAAGGGATAACGCTCGAAACGTCAGCTTTTTTACTCTTTACGGCGGCCAGTTTACGTTTTCAACTCAGTTGTTAACACTTAATTACCTGCTATACTCTCCCACCGACGCAGCACCACAGTTTCGTTAGAAACCTACCCCCTTTATACATTCCTCACGAAAGTTGGACTGATACAAGTCACGTGGGTAACTTTGTGCGGGATAATTTGGTAAACCAACCAGAGGAGTACTTTTAGACCAACAAGGATAAGGAGAGTTGAAAGATGTTAATTGTAAATGAGCGCACATCTAGCTTTAAGATGTATCAATGGCAACACAGTCCAGAAA